TCAAATCAGTTCCCTTCGTTTCCCAAAGGGCCCGTTCCTCGCGCACCTTCTTGAACTCGCCAAACAATGCGGGGGCGCCCGGAGGAGAGGCGCTGGGCAGGGCGCAGGGACGGCGCCGCGCTGCCCCCGGGACCCCTGGGCGCCCCCGCGCCTCGCCGCCCGTCGGGGGCGCGCACACGCACACCCTCGGCCCCAGTGCGGGAAGGGGAAGATGGCCGTTTCTGCTTCAGTATAAAGGCTCTTTGTTGCGCTCACACAAAAGCCGCCAAGACCCGCTTTTGCAGCGGGCCCTTGGGGCGAATCGAAGGAACCCAGCTGAGTTTCCAAATGGCCGGAGAAGCCTGCAGAGGTGGGAGCAACTAAGGAGAGGGGGAAGAGCAGGCCTCCCGCCCTCGGCTACCCCAACCTCTGTCACTATCCAAGTGCTCGTCGGGGAGCCGGGGGTGGAGGTCCTTCGTCAGGGAGGAAGGGAGGAAAGAAGAAAACCTACTTTCACCATCAAGGCCCAAAGCGGGTATTAAACATTCACATTCTTGTAGGGTTTCTCCCCTTAACCAGGGTAGAAACTTAATCTGAAAAAAGAAAAAAAAAAAAGGGGGTCTGGACACACCAAAAAGAAAAAAAGAAAGAAAAAAAATACCAACAATAGCAACTTAAAAAAAAAAAAAGCAAAAACATAACAAACCAGTTGCCATCAGCCCAAAGTGGTAGTAGCAGCAGCCGGCGCGTGTGATCCACTTACTTGTCCGACTCTTGTGACATGTTTGATCCAATGAACTCGCTCCCCTTTTCCTGGAGCCTCAGCCTCTGGTGAAACTGGACTTTCAAGTCTGTGCAGGTGAAGGTGTGTGAGAGCGCCCGAGATGGCAGAACAAGAGCTACAGGTAATTCTGCTTTTCCGTCCCCCCGCACCACGCTCGCTCGCTCGCCCGCTCGCGCCCTCACCTAGCCGGAAAGGTGGGATAAGGGGGGGCCCCTCACATGGGGCCCGCGCTCGGAGGCGGCCGGGCGGCGCGGGGTCCTCCGGGATCGTGGCAATGGGCAGTCACCGAGCCGAAAGTGGCGGACCGGGTCGGCCACAGGTAACTTTCTCGCAAGGAGCTGAATTCTTTTACTAAAGGGTACAAGCCCGAGGGACGAGCTGCGCGGTGATTGGCTGCGGGGAGGCCTCAGGTGAGCTGCCATTGGCAGAGGCGCGCTCAGGTAAGGCCCTTCTCCAAGTGCAGGTAACTCACTCCGAAGTTTACCCGAGTGGAGCGGCGGCACGTTCGCGGCGCGGAGGCAGCCCGTGGGAGCCGAGGGTCAGTGCTTCGTGTAGACCTCACGCTACGTTTTCCTCCTTCCCGCGGGCCGGCCGGGGGTGTGGCGGGGGCGGGGGCCGGGATAGGGCGGGGGTGGAGGGGGAGGCTTGGAGAAGAGAAGGAACCAGGAAAAAAAAAAGCAACACCTGCAACCACTAGGGATTATGGGTCGAACGGAAGGACTAAGGAGAGCTGAACTCGGGATCCCCAGCCAACCGGAATCCGAGGCGCAGCGCAACCACCGGGCTTTTTCGTGCCCACCATGGAGAGGACTGTTCGACGGTTTCCGAAGAGTTTGAAGTTTACTTTGTGCTCAGAGGAGGGGAAAACACAACGATTGCCGGGTTTGTTGCGTGATTTCATTTGTAACATACCCACAACCAACACTTTCCGTGCCCCAATTTGGTGTAAAGTATGCCCAGTAGATTACAGCTTTTCTAAGAGGTGAGCATCCTTTCGTGAGCTGGGCAGATGATCTCGGTGGGGTGAGGAGATTTGATGGAACAGACCATAAATTGGCCCCTGGCGCACCTTTTTCCATCTCACCTCTGCAGCTTGGGATTCCGGAGCTGCAAACAACCACTGTTCCATAAGCCTGTGGTCTTTTTGACGTTTCCAGGCAGGCATCAACATTGACATTGTAATTCAATAGAAGCTGTGACTACAAAGGTGCTTTATCCTTCCAGGTTAATATGGTTGCTACGGAAACAATTCAGGATGAAGCTGACTTTTTTTGTGGTTCTGCTTCACTTGGTTGGAAACAACTCCCAACTAGCAAAGGTGCAATTCATTTATAATCACTGCTCCCAAAGTGTGTTTGTGAAAATTTTTTATAGGGATCTAGCCCATACTTATGAATTGTGGAACTGAAGGGGGATGTGAAAAGCTTACCATATTTTATTCCATGTTACATTGTGAGAGTTCATACAACTTTTAATCTTTATGGATCAGATGTTTTCTAAAATTTGCATTGTGAAACAATGTTTGGTTGTTCCGTGTTTTCACCTATAGCAAATGAATTTCAAAAGTTCATTCTTACTTTTTAAAGACATTAGAAGTACACAGTTTTTAAAGATAATATAATATTTTAAGGTTATATACATTACCCACTTCTTCTTTACCTTCTTAATCACCTTCTGAGAGGCAACCACATTCCACTTTTATCTGTCTCTTTTGTCATTTACCTCCAGACTTATCAATATTTCATGGTTATCTCTTGATTTATCTGTTCAGATGTCCTACGTTGACTACCTGTTGCCTCAGATAAAGATGCAGCTTTTTCACACCCACCCAGCTTCCCCTTCGGCCATTCTTCGCACACAGCTCTTTCACAGTTTAGAGGTAGTAAGTAGTTGGTGACTGTGTATACCAGTCAGTGGAGCCAACTGGTGAACTGTGGTTGTTTTCCTTCTCATAAAATCTTTTATATATTTACTTTGTTATGCACCCACCTGATATTTTTTCTACAACCTGTTGATCAAATAACTATCAATTTTATTTTCCAAATGATCAAACAATCAATTTTATTCCCCACCCCCCACCCCCGCAACATCCCTCCAAGTTTTCTGTCCTCCTGTCCAATGGAGATGAGGTTTCTAAATTGAAATTTTTCATTTATAAGTTTGTAGAAATTGCTCTTTTATCTTCTAGCATCCAATGTTGCTGTTGAGAATTTCAATGCTACCCTTATCCCATTCTTTTGTGACCTGCAATTTTTCTTTCTGGAAACTTTTAGAAGAATCCCTTTACCTCTTATATTCTGAAATTTCATAATTATGTACTGGGTCAATGGCAAAGATTTGCCTAAGTTCAAATCATGCCTCTACTACATGACCTTGGGCAAGACACTTATTCTTGCTATGCTTCAGTTTCCTCATTTATAACAACAGAATATATATATATATATTCTGTTATATCTATTATAATGGAAGTAATAATAGTAATTTCCTCACTGATATATCTCAGCCACTTAGAATAGTGCCTAAACACATAGTAAGTCCTTGATTATTGTCCACTCATTTCTTTTTTGAAACTCTTAGTTGGATATTGAATCCTCTAGATTAATCTTAGAATTTTTTTCCTTTCCTTTGGACATCTCTTCATCTTTTGTTCTATTTGGGGGAATAGTTCCTTACTTTACTTTCTATTGATGATTTTATATCAGCTATTCTAAGAACTCTTTTCATGTTTTATGTTATTTTTTAATGTTTTTGTTGATTTTTAGAGAGAGAGTAGGGGAGAGAAAGAGAGAGAGAAACAATGTGAGAGAGAAACATTCAATCAGCTGCCTCCTGCACATCCCCCACTGGGGATGGAGCCTGCAACCGGGGCATGTGCCCTGACCCAGAATCGAACCAACAACCTTTTGGTGCACGGAACAATGCCCAACCAACTGAGCCACACCAGCCAGGGTGTTTTATGTTATTTTTAAAATAGATTTCTATGAACATGTTATGGTTGGAATAATTTCTTCTCTCTTTTGAGGACAGTTACTCTAGGGTTTTCTGCTTCTTGCCTTCTCTCTGCTTCCTTTTTTCCCCATGTATTTGTTTTAGTCCCATCATGTTAGAGGCTTTCCTCAAATGCCTGCAAGCCTTTGACTATTCATACTTAAGAAGAAAGTCATAAAACCCACCAGAGACTCTATCTATAGGGGGTGAGAAGGAGTGTACCTGCACGTCGGTAGGTTTGACGTATGGTGATCAGGTGAAAACTGGTCCTTCCATAGGAAGAGCCCACAAATGTCAGAAATGAGAGGTCTGATCTTTTGGGCTCTTCAATTTCTCAGAAGAAATATCTGTATCTCTTTCCTAAAGGGACATTCACCTGGCTGCCAATATTCTGGAGGAGGTTGAGAGGGAAGGTACATTACTCCTGCCCTTGTTGCTGCCTGGTGTACAAGCGTCTCTAATGTTTCTCCTGCTGGAGTTGTAATCACCTGTCTGCAAGGAGTGGAGTGGGGACCTGAGGATCTAACAACTCCAAATGCCCACATTCACTCAGCCTCCTGCTTCTCATCTCTCCTTCAGTTTTGGAATCCCTGGGCCTCTCAGCAGCACCTCCCTCTGATGGTCTATGGCATCTCCAAGACCCAGGGGATGCTGGGAGTTTATAGGGTAATTGAGCTATTTCTGTTCTGACCTCTGCATTAGAGTGTGGCGTCCACTGTTCTGTTAAATCAGTTTCCACTCTTCCATCTGCCCCATCTTCCAGAATTGTGTTGAAATATATCTTTTGTGGATGACTCTTCTCCATCCTCTTTGTTCCTGTGGCTTTATCCTTTTTTCATTACTATAGTTTTCAGGAGACAGTGAAAATAAACAAGTGTAGGTCAATCTGTCCTCTTTAATATAAAGCCATTTCCAAAATTATCCAGAAGCTTTTATCAAACTGTGTTAGCTTTTATTAGATAGCTTAGTGCCCCTGACTGGCTACCGACTGCTGTACTGATGGGTTAGGTTGGTGAAGGAGAAGGTCCTCGGGGACCATTTTAAATTGTTACCTTTATTTTACTTCTTTTGGCAGAAGAATTGTAAATGAATGTGAAAGTTCCTGCCACACCCATCATGAGAATATTTCTCCGTAAACATCTGTATCCATAAATACTTAAGCACAGCAGTGGTTCCCAAAGTGCCTGTTTGCCCACTACATGTTATCATATACAAGGCTATTACAATAGGTCTGCCATCATATTTACTGTGGAGTCCATGATAAGTGGTATCTCATAGGTTGTTTTGCACTGTAAAAACACTAAGTTGTTTGATCACCAATTATCCATAAGAAGAAACTTTGGGAAGAATGAAACGTATCTAGATACCTGAATTTGAAATATAATACTGTAGAGATTAGAACTTAACCAACTGAGCATTAAGTGGCAGTTCCCTTGCAGTTTGAAGCCACTTCTGTGTTTCGTGGTAGCATGGATATGCATATTTGCATGAACACTTACAGATTTCATGAAGGCTCTTGAACTAGCAGCGTGAAATTCAGCCAGCAGCTAGCTGAAGTTTGCATATTTCCTTCAGGATAGCACACATTTCTGTTGTTTGGGCTGGCCATGGGGAACTCTTCAACAGAAAGCATGGGCCTGTAAAAACATGGTGCATTGAATGCATGTCTTTATCTTACTTCCTTATTTAAAAAAATATGGTTTTATTGATTTTATAGAGAGGAAGGAAGAGGAGAGAAAGATAGAGACATTAATGATGAGAAAAAATCACCTATTGGCTGCCTCCTGCATGCCCCCTACTGGGGACTGAGCCCGCAACCCAGGCATGTGCCCCTACTATGAATCAGACCATGAGCTCCTGGTTCCAACCACTGAGCCACACCAACTGGGCCTTACTTCCCTCTTTTGTTTGTTTGTTTTTGGAGGTATATTTCTTTTTTTTAATTGAATTTATTGGGGTGACATTGGTTAATAAAATTATATAGGTTTCAGGTATACAATTCTACAATACACCATTTGTAGATTGCATTGTGTGATTACCACCCCAAGTAAAGTCTCCTTCCATCACATTTATCCCCCTATACCCTCTTCTACCTCCCTCCACACCCCTTCTCCTCTGTTAATCACCATGCTGTTGTCTGTGTCTATGAGTTTGTTTATTGTTTCTTTTTTGCTTAATCCTTTCCCAGTGATAGAAAAATAAGAGAGGAAATGAGAAGGTTAAAGATGACAACAAAATTTGAAAAGTGCAAACTGACTAAAGGAGTAGAACCGACTTAACCCAGCCAAGACAGGTGAACATGAACATATGTAGGTGCTGAGGATCAGGACTATTTAGCCTGTAAAACCTCATAAAGATATAGGAAGCAAAAATTGGACATGTGTTCTAGGTTAACCAATGGGCATATTATTTAGAAATTTGGAAGTAAAGGCTAGAATTTTATTTTTAAAGAAGATACAGTAATAAAATAAATAAATAAAATAAATGGTTGCCTCTTAGGAATAGGATTGGAATGTGGGGAAGAATAAAGCATGGATTATTTTTTTCAAATAATGTTAATATTATTTTCAATATTATTACTCAGCATAATTATTTAATTTTTAAAACTATGTATATAGTTTTATATACATATATAGTTTATATACACACATATATAATTTCAATAGAAATAAAATTAATTCATAAAATAAAAGTACAGATTACAAACACATATGTTCCCTCTTGCCCAGGGTCTTTGCATTTACTCTTCTATCTCCTTAAAACTCTTGCTTTTTTTTTTCCTCCTTCTCTAACTGTCTCCTAATCTGCCCTCAGATCAACCTGCTCAATCATCTGGTCCTCGAGAAAGCCTGGTGGGCTCTCCCAGGTCAGGTACAGGTATATTGGGAAGATACATTTCTCCATTATCTATTTACATAGCATCATGCTCCTCTTCTTGAAAACACTTATCACAGTTGTAATCTCACATTCATTTGTGTTGTGTTTGATCATTGACCATCCCCTTCCACTAGACTCTAAGCTCCATGAGGACAGAATGATGCCTATTATTGGCTCATCATTATCTCCCTAGTGCTTAACACTATAGGTAGCATTTGGCAAATATTTGATGAGTAAGCAACAAATACTCTGAATCATGAACATCCTTCCCATTCTACAACTTGAAGAACTTTTGAAAGAGACATTATCAAATTGAGCACCTTCATGAACAATGTTGAGTAAATAAATGAATTCTATAAGCATTAATAGAATATTCCAGGTCTCCGATTGGGTTCCTCACTTAAGTTTTGATAGTACTATATGAGATAGGTAATTAAAACAGTGAGAATGCTTTCAATAGTGAGCCAAAGAGCAGCCAGCTAGTAGGGCCTTTACTCAAGACTGGTTACTTTTTCTTGCCTGATAAGAAGTCTGGGAACTGGAAAAGGGAGTGGGAATTGCTGACATTTGATTGGCAGCTCTATAACTCAGAGCTCTTTGCACTTTTCTGCCTCTCACAGTAAAAAGTATCATGTAAAAGTATTCTTACACAAC